GGAAGCAGTAGCCATGGAACACCACATGCAAACTGTGGTAACCCTCCAAAAGTAGGGCATCATCATAACCCTACCCCAGCTCCTCCTTCCGGAGGTCATGCAGGTGGATACTACCCCACCCCTCCAAGTACTCCTAGACCTAGTACCCCCTCCACACCCACTATTGTAAGCCCACCAACTGCTCCCATCGTTGACCCAGGCACTCCAAGCACTCCTGCTATCCCAACACCATCACCTCCTTTTACATGCGAGTAAGTTTAATTTATTGCATCATCAGCTTTACTTTACATTCTTAACTTTAATATGCAGCATCTTATAACACTTAATCATATGATTTGCAGTTACTGGAGGACTCACCCGGGACTAATATGGGGCTTGTTTGGTTGGTGGGGAACTGTTGGAGGTGCATTTGGTGTGGCTACTGCTCCAGGGCTCGGCTCAAACATGAACTTGCTGCAAGCACTTTCAAACACACATACTGATGGATTTGGGCAACTCTATAGGGAAGGCACAGCTTCTTTGCTGAACTCTATGGTTAGCAAGAGGTTCACTTACACTACCACACAAGTCAAGAACAATTTTGCTGCTGCACTCAGTTCAGACAAGGCTGCAGCAGCTCAGGCTCAGCTCTTCAAATTAGCCAATGAGGGTCGGCTCAAGCCCAGAGCTTGAAAATTCATTTCCACAATCACCATCTTATGTCCAGTTTCATTATGATTTCTTGTGTGGTTACTTTAGGATTGAGCATTGAAGTTTTTCTGATTGTCTTCATCAAAATTAGTGCTTTTCTGTTTGCGTTTGAATCTTACAAAATCAAGAGGATACCACCCTTCATTGTTTAATCAGTTATCAGTAAAACATTTCTTGTTGTATTACATGTGTGAGTGCCGGTTCCCAATTTCAGAATATTCTTTTTTTCTCCTTTAAGGTAAAGAAGGTATCTTTCCAAATAAAACAAAGTATTCTTGTTCCAGAATGAAGATTCCACTTCTGTTTATAAAACAAACTAACCTCAGTAACCAAGAACATAAAGAGAAACAAGCACCCGTTGTCCTACCTCCTTTATTAAGTGAAAAACAACAGACCTGTCAAGGCTAGTTGAGCTTCCTCAACAAACTTTACCAGCTTCAAATTCTCACAAGGATGTTGATGACCATCTGCAATTGTAATTATTATTCAGCGCTGAGCACTGGATCTGAACAAAAAAGAAGGTATTCTAAGAAGTATGGACACCGTTCAACTCGGAAAATGTGACATGAACATGAAGCACATGCATGAAAGAGTTCATGCCAACATCAATGCTGCACCATTCACTTAGCCGCCTTCCCTTCATGGATAATATCAGAGAGTTTACATTACTAACAACCCTGGGGAGAATAGTAATATCAATGGTTCATGAGACATAATGAAGTGTGGTGCTAAAAGCCATATACAAGGAAAGATATAATAAGAATACCTGCTTATCAAATATATACATTACATGTATATATGTACATACAAACAAACATCAAGAACACCTATGAAACATCATCTTATCCATAAAACTATTTGAAAAGTAGAAGGAAAGCATGATTAGAAATATAGCTGAAAAAATATTGGAGTTATCAATCTTGATTCATGCAATGTAGATAACCACATAGCTCAAACTGGGACTCGTCAGCCTATACATCCAGTTTGTTCTATTTCATTACCTTTTTATGGAAATACAATGTTTGTTAAATTGCATTACCATCCAAAAGCTTAAACTGTTAGAGAGGGCACATAATTATGTTTCAATGCACCCTCACATGGGACTAATTCTTTTTTCATAGGCCAAGCACGTGAAATTACTTCTAATAAAAAGTGACCGTAAGACACAAACTCAACACGGCTACCTACTCGGATAACATGTTGAATTTTATGATCACCTTATCTAAAAATTTAAGTTGTTAGAGAGAGCAAATATTTATTTAAATTAGTTATGTCTTCAACACTTTCGCTTCTTCAAGAGGAATGGACCTCCAAGAGATTCTTTCCATATAAGACATGCTCAAGTAGATATGACCAAAAATACAAAAGTCATAACAAAACTATAATGTAATATAATATTCCATTCATAGATGGGCATCACATTTCCATGTTGCCAACTGTATTTGATAGCTAACATTATTTCCTAATGAACCTCCTGATAAAACCATATACCAACTACAACAATATGCAAAAAGTTCCCCCACCAGCATCAGCCTTTTCAAGTGAAACAATTAAAGCACCAGCTTACTATCTTAGAGAGTAATTGTTAGGGACTCAAAATTGCCACCATTTGATACAATGAGCTGCATCTTTCAAAATCAGATCCTTCAAAATGCAGGTTAATGGCTGAACGACTGCACAGGTAACGGGTTTGAGCTTGCCGCAGCAATACAAATAATACAACATGAAGAAACAAATATCTTACTACATCAGAGTTAATAGGTTTGAGCTTACACCCAGCAATATAAATATTATAACATGACGAACATATCCCACTCAGAATTTCGTGTATATTAACAAGATTGCTAATTAAAGACTTATGACTGGTTTCTCTTATCACAATCTCTTTGATAAAACATGCTACAAAAGTTTTCTCTAGGATGTCACATTCCACAGTATGTTTGCTGATGATAACACAGAAAATTTTCCCCTTCACATAAGTTGTTAAAACTCGCCGAGAAACCAATGGGTTACAAAATAAAAGCTCTTTGAGATAGGGGCATAACAGGCATGCCCCAGGATGACTGAATATCTGTTGTCCTCTAAAGCTACATTTCACATTTCATGAATTGCCCAAGTTCATGACATGTCATTGGTTTGCATCTAGTCAATGAAGAATTTTTACCCCCAAAAGATTCCTAACCTGACTTGCACAATAAATTACTACATCTACAAGAATGTAGTATCTGCCAAAAGAACAAAGAATGAAAAAGCTAAAGCAACAGTCCATTGATAATGAATGCAAATGAACTTTATATATTTCGAATCACAACATCAAATTAAGATGTTAATTAAAACAGAATAATAAAATAAAAATGTAAAGGTTTTGAGGGAACACGAAATACAGTCATCAAAAAAAAAGAAAGAAAAAAAAAACAGCTCAATGACAGACCGATGAAGGATTTTGATTAGCGCAGCAGGACATTAAGCAGTAAGGAATCACAAGCTGTCAGACCTTGGTTCACAACATAATATGCTTTAAAAAGAGCAGGTGTATTTATGTACCGCCACAATGAATTCTAACCAACCAAACAGCCTATCCCCATAGCATAGATTAGATGCATCGCAGTAAAATAATACTAAATAGACTCTTGGGTATGCACCTGAATTACTTCTCCCTGCTTCAGACGCTCAAGTTGGAGGATTCATCAGTATGCAAAAAATGAGAATACGAATAAACTGATTCGCCCCAGTAAGCACCAACTTGGTTGGAATAAATACTTTTCAACCATCAAGATTTTGTTAAAGTTTTACCAGAGATATCTTTAACTCACCACAAGTTTTCTTCGACAATGTAATCAAGTATATACTCTTTTACAATAACTTACGAATTTTTACAATTCTCTCTAGATGGCAATACATAAAATTTCTTCATCTGAATGAAGATCTTCAGTGTAAAAGTTTTGTGCTCCCATAAGAATTTAGGTACAACTGGCGGCTGCATGCTTTATATCTTAAAGAAGCACAAATTAAGAGAACTTGTAGCTCGTGGCTTAAAAGGAGTAGGATGCTCGAGTTGATTTGAAATATGCCACAGATAACAGAGAAAGAGAGGGAGGATCCAGAATAGAATTAAGGTACTTTTAAGTGCTGGGTTGTAACTAGAGAAGCTGTTGTCAGAGTTACTTCTCGCGGATGGACCTAAATCAATATAACATCACATCAGTAATACATAGGAGGTTCTGATCAGAAACTCTCCATAGATATATTCTGTAGAAAGAGACAATTAAAGGGAGGCAGATGAAACTTACAAAGATTACAACAAGAGTCACATGCAACAAACAATTTTTGAAATGCACCAAGGTTGCAGAGCTTCTATCACATTAATCTCCAATTGGTGACACTATGGGCTTGTATGAAATGAATCCAATCATTCCAAATGAACTCTGTACCTAAGCACTTGCATGAACATCTATTGTAATAATACTGCAACTGAGATATCTGGAATGTCACACGAATCTCGACAGCTGACTTGGACAAATAGTTGCATTAGTGTCTGTACCTTATGGCAGAAGAAGCATATAATATACAGATTTATGTTCTTCATGGAAACTGTCACATACAACTCCCTCAAGATGAGCAAATCCTGTGTCCTACTCATGCTGAAGGATCCTCGAAAACCCAATCCAGGAGTCATAAACCTAACTACGAGTTCAGTGAATCCAATAAAAGTTGAAGCTAATACAACAAATTTCTCCACAATGAGTGTATCCAATATCAGTTGATGCTGATATAGCAAAGTTATCCATAATTGGTTATTTTATCCAGAACCCTGTCTTCCAACCTTAAAACATGATATGTTGTAAGTCAAAACTACTATATTTATACATCCAACAAAATCTAATTCAAAAAGAGATCTGAATTTAGTCTTTGGTTTTTTGCCATAATGCACTAGAGCGAGAATTCAACCATAAATTGATGATGAATTAACGGGGTCAGTAGTAACCTAGGAAGGTAAACTAATGCAAATTCCCCAGAGTCATTAGGTTTAGAAGATACACCTAAGGTGATAGGTTGGATTATATATAAATCCCAACCACGCCCAATATATTATTTTACTAAAGATGAACTTCGCTTAATTACTTTCCAACAAATGAAGTTCATTATCAGACAAACGCTCACTCAATTTCTTCCAGAGACTACATTATTATAATTGAAGCAGAAAAAGAATTTTGCATATACATGAAAAAAATAGTACTAATAAATGATCACCCATGCTGAAGCATAACTAACTCAAGGAATGAAATTCCAATCCATGTAAAGAGGGAAGATTAAAGTAAAAGAGATAAATACTTTGATTTCATTTTCCCAATCTCTTCAAGAACAGAAAGGCTTGTGTTTCCTTTAATGGTGATCAGAACTTACAGCAACCTACACTTGAAGTTTCATTTCTAAGGACAAGCAAATAGACCTAGTCTAAGTGTCTTGCACTATACACTCTTTTCTGCCCATAAGAAAAGGAAACCAGATAAATAACAGTAGGCAGCCCTTTTCACATGTATGAAGTTTGAATGCTGATACGATATTTTCCATCACAACGTGGCCACAGTTATTCCAACTTGAACATCGACCTCATGAAAAACCATGAGCAACACAACGGTACTGAGGTCTGTTGTCAGCTCCAAAACCGGGGTACTGATAGTCTCCCCCTGCTGACTAGAGGAAAATTACACAGCATAAGAATTCTGATCAGCTCATATGAGTTTCAAACCAGTTAAATATTTGTTCAGACTGCAAGCTGGTCATTTCATGATAAGCAAACGCAAGATTCATTTCCTCTTGAATGCGATTCGCTATGGACTTGTCTGGGAGAATAATCTCTCTCTCCTTGACAGCCGCTTTCCATTGTAGAGCACGCCCATCATTTCTCATGAAACCTTTCATATCAATGAAACCCTTTTCCTGGAACAGACTATACAACTTCTCAGAGGTAGTTAGATCAAGACCCGGAATCCTATCAGCTAAGAGATTAGGTGACAATGCAAACTCCATGCATTTGACCTCAGCAACATCAATGCCTTTTACCTTCAAGAGTGTCAAGTATCTCTGTATTCTCCGTCTTCTCCTTTCATCTTTGGGCATGTGCACGAAAAGGGTAGGAGGGTAGTTCTTCGGTATGTCCATTTGACCAAACAATCCCTCGGCAATCATTATTGTGATGCTACTAAATCTTAAATCCGTTGCAAGGGCTGAAACGAAATATCCACCAGATGAAGCACCCAACGCTACAAGAGGCAAGCTTTGAAGCTTTTGTTTCACAATCCACCTCTCAATAATATCTTTAACAATCAACCTTTCCTCTTCAAACGACCAGCACCTCCCAGCACTAGTTACTGCAAGAACTGCAAATCTCCTAGCTAAGGCATTAAGGACGATTAGCCTTTCTTCAGGTAGACCCGCACAATCTGGGCACTTAGGTGATCTATCCCAAAAGTTAGCTGCTTTACCATTACAACCATGTGCCAAAAAGAGAATTGCCTTGGGTGAGGCTGGGATTTGCCATATTAAATCTGTTCCATTTCTGAACTCCACAGTTGGGTCTAACTTAACCGAAGAGCTAAAGCTATTCCAATTTCGTATCAATAAACCAGATGATGAATCAGATCTTTCTCCAGCTTCTCTATACAAAATCAAAACTAGGACACAAATTAAAACGAGAAATATAGTAATAAGCGGCATTCGCATATGCCGGGCATTATTTTGTTGTTTCAGCATCCGATTTCCCCGTTTGAGCATGCCTGGAAAAACAATCAATATAATAGGATCATACATTTTAGCAGCACATCTCTAGACAACTTAAAAACAGGTCAAAATGCACGTTATCATACAAAAGAGAGCGATAAACCTAATGAAAACCCTATAAATACATGCTTTTGGGGGGTTAAAATAAGTAACCCAAACTTCAATTTCAAATATATGGAATCATTTGTTAAATGTCATTTATTGAAATACAGAGGACAAAAATCACATTACATTAAATAGCATGCAACCTCTTAATTGAAGAATTAGTCAGTTAGCAAAGAAGGAAAACAAACTCTCTTTTCTGTAAGGTAGAATGAATTAGGAAGCCACTTTTGCATAAAATCAAACAAGTCAGGGGCATCACATTGTCAATTGATAAAGCATGTGATCAACTATTTAAACAAAAGCCCGACACTAAGATTGCGAACACCAATATACAACCCAAATCGTTTGAATTAATACTAATGAAACCGGGTATTGTAAATTACCTTAAAGCGCTTCACTAATGATGTCTCAAATTATTCTGTGAGGTTTTAGTGCTACCGGCCAAAAACTATTCATATCAGTGAAGAATGAAGAAAGCTACTTACACGCGCCACGACGCGAGTACCCGAGCATGTCGCCAACTCCAGTTTTGGGATTGGGCTCCCTTATAAATATTTTGAGCCCAACAAGTACAAAAGAAAAAAGGGATCTTCACGCAAATAGCGGTCCATATTCATTGTTTACTTTTTCTAGCCATATTCATAGTTTTTAAATTAATTATACATAATTATACACATATAATACATAAATTATGCAATATTATGCCTAGTATGCCTCCACGGGCTATTTTTAATTTAAATAGTTGGGTTGACGACTATTTAGATTAATTGTTCAAGAAAATCCTTGGAACTCTTTGCAGTATGAACCGAGGCCCAAGTTTCAGTTGTTAGCCCGAGTTTGCGGTAAGTGCACAAGCAATCATTCTTATAGAGACTAGTCAATACTTATTTTGTCCTACAAATTTAAACTAACAATCTTGATTTCAGGATAATTTAGAGAATTTGTATCCCGAAATGTTGTACTGAAAAACTGAAATTAAGGAGACATTTGCTAATTTTTAAATAGCAACCCCTTAGAATGGCTATCTGGTGTCATTTCTACCCCGAGTTTTAGTTGTTAGCCCGACTTTAGTTACCCTCAATGTAATAATAAGATTACACTGATCTTTACACAAATGGTTGGATAAAGATTCGTGGTTTTTTTTTCTAGCCGGTATACATAAAATATACGCTGATTATACACATAAATTATACGTTCGCCAACTAATTTTAATTTAAGCGGTTGAACGGGCGGCTATTTAGGTTCGAAAGCTCATGAATATTAAGATACTAATAAGATCATAGGGATTTTTTCGGGGCATGTATAAAAGTTATAGATATTCGTGCGTGTGTATGACATAAAGAAAATACTTTATTTCCTGTTAAATTATGCATATTGCGTGTGCGTAAGATCTATTAAATGCTATCCAAGGCATGAATACTAGCATAAAATGCTAGTCCTTTGCAACTCCTGTAGGTTACTAATTTTTCTAATTTACTTCCATGTACAGTCAACTTAATTAAAGCACCAAAGTGAAACAAAATAGAAATTATAACCCATTATACCTGGATTATCCTCTCCTTTTCTTTTCTTTTCTTTTTGGTGGTTAATCTTTGGCTAAATGCATGAATAGATACATGACGAATTACGGCTCGTAACCTTCAACATGAAAAAAATGCTCATTGATTTTGAAAGAAACACTAGGGATAAGCCGTGACTTAGAGAACTATGTCGACGTGACTTTTCTTTTATTTCACCATTGTTTACCTTTAAAATTGGATAACATTTAAACTTATAAGTGGTTTTAAGGATATGTAATTTCACTTGGCACAAATCGATAGATATGAGAATTAATGTTAGAAATTAACAGTAAAATAAAGCAAACAAATGTGAAGAACAACTGTGGTCCTCGAACCAACTGAGTATGCTATTAAAAAAGTATGAACTGAATAACAGAGCTTGCGAGAGAAAAAATATTATAATATATTGCCTTGTTATGCGTGAATGTATGATGGTTACAAAGTGATTAGAACCCCCTTTATATAGTAGAGGAATTCTACTTATGGTACAATTCTAAATATGGAAGGAAATTCCATGATTGGCTAAATGACCGGTCCTGACCCGATACCTGCCGAGATTTCCGCCACGATCCTTGCCCGATCACGGATATCTTGGCTTTCCGTTATTCGACTTAACAGGCTTTCTTCGATCTCGCTCGATCTCTTTCTGCTTCAACCTCGGTCATGGCTGGTCTCGATCTGGATCGACCACCTATTTTACGAGATCAGCAATCCGTCTCCGTACCCTGGTTCGATACGATGCGAGGCCGAGCTATGGTCTGCCACCCCGATTTTCGTTAGCCATACAAAATTAGGCAAGCTCGAATTTGACTGTATACAGATAGTTCCCTCATTTTTTGGAGTGCAATGACAAGAAACGAATTGAGCTTCGAACCTATCCTCGGTCTACCATGACGTAAGCATTATGACGCAAGCGGTAGAGGTGACCGAAACGTCTCGTCGGTTTAGTTTCCCAGGCATTTAAGGCGTGTCAGTTGCCGATCGACCACTACTAGTATTGAACCGCCATTGCGAAACCAATAAATAGCCACCTTCCTCATTCTTTCAAACTTTACTTTCAATTTTCGACTCCTTAATCTTCATAGTTCTTCGTTTTCTCCAAATCTTTGTGTTTTCAGTTTCCTGAGTTTCTTTTCTTGTTTCTTTACAAAATATCCAAGTGTTCCTCCTCTGTTTTGTTCTTCTCCATTCACGAAAATGGCTAAGACCTCTAAAACTGTCCCACATAAGGAAGTCGCTTCTTCATCAAGGTCTGCCGGTGCCTCCCCTGGAGGACTTCGTTCCGACGAAGTGCCCCACTGCTGCCGATTTTAAGGTGGAGAACACACCTTCGACACCAGGTCGATGTGAACCGATGTCGAGATACATATGTACCATTACCGACGGTCTCCTCGAGAAGGTAAAAGAGGAGTGCAACTAGGTAGGCAAAGACGTAGTAGTCCCTGCCCTTGAGGAATCTATTACCACTTATGTAGAGGGATATTTAAGTGTCTATACTTACCCCTTCACGATAGGTCCTTTAGACCCCATCACCGTCGCCTTCTGCAAGAGGTACGATGTCACTCTTGGCCAAATCCATCCGTCGTTCTGGAGGATCATAATCCTCCTTCGATTTTTTATGAACAAGACCGAGGGGCATCCTTTTACCCTCATCATCTTATGCGCCTCTATAGCCCCTGACTTTATCAAGGAGGCTTGATCAAGCTTTACCATCGATCCACCAAACCCCCGTTCTCCAGCATAGACGAGACCCGAGACCGTGGTTGGATCCGAATAAAGACTTCGGACCCGATCCCTGCCGAGGACATGCCATTGCCTGAAAAATGGAACATGAAGCATAATTATCTCTTTGCCTTTGAATATCTATCTCTGCCGCTTTAGTTCTCGTCTTCCCCTCATCTAAGTTTTTTGTGTTACAATTGTGGCCGTTGTGCCGGAAGTGATCCCCGACCTGAGGCAATGGGTCGAGGGATTAGGGTCACAAAAGTCTTACTGCATGTTTGGATGGAGTTATCAAAGGGCCAATAGGAGGCCCGTAACCATGGTAATCTTCTTTCCCTAGAACGCTTTTCATTCGGGCTTCGTTATTGGACTTACTCATCTTTTCCTTTTTGTAGGCCTCGGGAAGAATGTAACAATGAGGCCCCCCTGTGCTGAAGAAGAGGTACTTTGTTCATCATCTGCCCTGAAGCAAGGCAAAGAGAAGAAAAGAAAGGAGGCTCCGAGTTCTCCAAGCCCGGAAAAGAAAAGGCCGGCTAGGAGGCCCCGTAAGCCTAAGGGGAATGTCATCCGTGTAACTCTGGATTCTGTCCAACAACTAAGGGACGAGACCGAAGATGAAGAAGAAGAAGAAGAAGACTCTAGGATGGTGTATCGTGTGCGAGCTGGCATGGAGATTCAAGGAACCACTGGACCGGCGGGAGCCGAAACTGCTTTGCCCCGACCTAATGAGCTCGAGCCAGAAAAAACTGAAGATGCCTTACCTCGAGGTGGGAGGGCTACCGAAAAGGCGGCCGATGCTGGCGCAGAAACCGGGCTCGAGGCTCCCCAGAACGAAGACGATGCCTCGAAAGACCCACTTGGGGTAATAGAGATCAGAGGCTCCCCTTCGTTCCCTCCAGTTCCTGATTCGATGATAATATGTGACGCTCAGGCTATGGAGACTTGTCACGGGGAGGGGGCCCGTGGAGAGGAAGATTTTTTCCGTGGTTATTTTGGTGAGGTAGAAGATTTCACCAGCCTGGGTGATTTGGATGTACCGAGGAAGAGCTCGAGTGAGGCTTCCTCAAGTTTTAAACTGACCAACCAATTCCCGGCCCCCGGTGTCGATCCCGGGCATAAGCGGCCACTTATCAGAGGATGCTCGAGTTTTCTCTGCCCCTTTGGGGGTGGTTACCTATCTTAGATGCTTGGTCACTGAAGAGGACCAAGAAAACATGGATGAAGTGGGAGTTGCTTGCTTGTTCAACGAGGCCCAGCACGCTCGAAACCGGGTAAGTTTGAGGGTCATTCCCTTGTCTTTTTATGACTTTGGACCGTATATATTTCTAATGTTTTCTTCTTTCCTTGTAGGCTTCGGTGTTGCATCATGAGGCCTTTCTTCGAATCTGGGAGGAGCGCAAGGCCGAGGTTCAGGGGCTCACCAAGAAATGCGATACTTATAGGCTTCTCAGCGAGAAGCTTCAGGAAGACTTGGTGACGACTCGAGATGGACATACTGAATGGCCGAGAAGGTATTCTGAGTCCTTCATGATAGTGAGGATGAGTTGGAGATAAAAACTAAAGATTCGATTCTGTTGGTCCGATAGAAGCTTGAACAGATCAAGGACTTTCAAAGGCAAATATATGAAGTGCGAGCCGAGGCTGAAGAGTTTAAGGGATGAATGGACATTTTGGCCGCACAGAAGGGGGTCGTCCAAACAGAGTTGGATTCAGCCGAGTCTCAGCTTCGTTCTGCGAGAGAGAATGCCTCGGTTCAGGAAAAGAGGGTCAAGGAGCTTGAATCCCATTTAGCCAACTTGGCCAAAGAGCTCGAGGTGGCCAGATTTGAGACAGCTACGACCAATATCAAGGCTCAGGCTAATGCGGCTCAATACAAGGCCGATGCTGAAGCCACCCTAGCGTAGGCCAAGAGCATGGTGGATCACGCGAAGTGGCAGGCTCGAAGGGAGGCCCTCAAGGGGGCCCGTGATCAAAGCTTCAACGTATCTGCTGAAATCGAGGTTGCTAGAGCGGAGGAAACAAAGGCTCGGAAGCTAGCTTTTCCTGAGGAAGACTCCGAGGACTTGAGTGAATCTGGCGATGGAGAGGATTCTGAGGGCAAAGATACTTCTACCGATAAGGATTGTGATGCTTAGGCTTCGTTCTTTTTGTAATTTTCCGCTTTTATTTTGAGGTCTATCGGTCTTTGTAAAGAACTCTTGATCGGGACGTATGGCCCTTTGTAAAAAGATT